TCCATCCCTCCATGCACCCCTGTCCCCTGAGCTGTCTCCCTGTGCATAAATAGCCTTTCTTTCTCCCATGATTGTTCTCTCCAAGGAGTGTATTTACCTCAGGTAAATGTTCAACTCTTATGCCTGTCTTTTGCTTGGCTGGAAGCCACAGGTGTGTATTCAATTCTAGACCTGAAGGGCAGCTAGGGGCCATAGTCTCAGTGGTTCCACCAGGCTCTTATCAGACCAGCAAACCTGGTCCACCTTTTTTTTTTCTTCCCCCAAATGCTTTTGAGTTTTATTCCACATTGTTCTCCCTCTCTATCCAAAGTCTCCTACATAGATCCCTCTCCAAGTGGTTGACATTGGTAGCTGGGCACCATCTAGTTCTTCAGGTCTCATAGTCATATAGGCTTCGGATCGCATGGTATACCGGTCACTAAGACTAATTCTTTCCATGAATCTTTGGTTTTCTTCTTTCTTCTTTGCTCTGGACGAGGAGAGTCCCATCGTTGCATCTGGATGGCAGCTTGCTAGCTTTTAAGATCCCAGTCGCTACTCGCCAAAGTAGGGGGTGGAACAATGTTTTGTGTAGTATGTTATGCCAATTGAGCTTGATGTCCCCTGCAACTATGGTCCCGAGCCCACAGGTTCAACTACTTGCTCCCTCTGGGTAGCTGGCTGTGACTAAGCAGTGACTACAGCCCTGCCCCTTGTCAGCTCCATTATACACCTGGGAATTCAGATCATTCACATAAACTTATAGGACCATTGTCTGCCAACGCTATGCGTGTTCTTGTGTACATTCCCCGCTTCATAGACATACCTACTAGTTCAGCCTGTCCACCCATCTATCCATCTGTATACCTATGTTTGCCTTCACTGACAAAGCAGTACTGTATGTGCAAAAACAGTTCATCTTTGTTCTCTGTACCTCCCATGTACCTCTCTATGTCTTTCTCTTCCTCAATGCCACCATATTGATCACTCACATTTGGTACATTGCCCTTCTCTTCACCCAAATCACCTAAATTATTCTTGAATTTTGTCTGTGTTTCCCTTAATTTTGTTGGTGTTTTCCTTGATGAATCTCTCAATCCTTTGAAGGTACTAAAATATAATTGTTTTGAATTCCTTATCAAGGCCACTTCTTTCCTTGGGAAGTTTTGGGCTCTGTATTTTGGTCCCTTGTTTGTATGACTTTATCTTGTCTTTATGTGAACTGGGATTGTCAGTTATCTCTGAGACATTGTGATGCCATTATATTTATATGTAATCAGTGATCGTATGTTGGTGTGATTTGCCTAGGGTTTTTTTCTTTTTTCTTTTCATATCTGAGAGAGCAGGGACGGTGTGCTCCTCTATTCACTAGTTTGGCAGAACTTAGGCACTCACCACCTGTCTCCTGGTGGATGTGATAGAGGATGAGAATGTATGCACAGATCTCTGTTAGCTGTTTGTGTGAGCAGTTGAGGGCAGGCTAGGCTGGTATTGGCTGCCGTCTTATCATTGATCAGTTGGTACAGAAGCAGGTGGTAGACTTTGCCCGGTGGGTGGGGCTACGGGCGGTGAGGATGTGGTTGGGTCAGGTAGATATGGTTTCTTTCTGGTTGCCATTCACCAGTGCGATTACCCATACAGTCCTTGGCGAGTGGAGTGATTATCAGGTTGCTGCCTGGATCGGAACACTGCTCGCAAATATCAAAGTGGCTGTATCATCAGTTCAGGCAGTAGTCCACAGTTCCATTTGCTTTCTTATTTGCTGTTTCCATTCAATTTCTTCTACTGGGTGGTATTTAATCCACTTCTTTATTCTTCCTGTTTAAGCTCAGGGTCCCATGATTATCCTCTGTATCTGTTTAAATTATTTTTTCATTTCTTTGTTGTAGAGAATCTGGGTATCTTGCCTGCCTGTTCCATCATCTTGCCAGAAGTATTTTGTTATTGAGAATATACACAGCGGAACGTACACCAGTCCTACAGTTTTAACTGATACTGGTTCAAATGATATTGATTACATTCTTCAAGATGTGCAACCATTCTTATCATCTTTTTCCAAATTATTCCTCCTCATTAACATAAACTCGTTGTCCCCCAAATGTTCCTGTCTAATCTTTTGAGTTGTTGTTGTTAGTGTAATTCCTTATTGATAGATCTTAGAAGAGCACAGAGCTCAAGGCAGATACTCTGCTACATAAGCTAAACTAGTGTTTGGTTTGAAGAAGACTCCAGGGAATATTTTTGCTTTAAGGTTTAAAGATTATCTTAGGGCAGTAGTTTTAGGGGTTCATTTAGCCTCCATGGCTCCAAAAAGTCTGGATTCTATGAGAATTTGAAATTCTGCTTTGCATATTCCCTCTTTTGATCAGAAGTCTTCTTTGATCAAAACATTCAGTAATGGTAGGTGGGCACCATCCAGTTCTTGTCTCCCGGCACAGGAGGCAGTTAGCCTCACATTCTACTTCCTCCTTCTATTCCTAGGAGCTTTGGTGGTGTAGTGCCTTAGGCATTTGACTGCTAACCACAAGGTTGGCGGTTCAAACCCACCAGCCACTCCACAGAAGGAAGATGGGGCAATCTACTTCCATAAACATTTACTGCCTCGGAAACCCGTTGCGGGTCACTATGAGTCAGAATTGACTCAATGACAGTGAATTTGGTTTTCTCCTTCTTCCTCTGCTGTTCCATATCTTATTAGGACACAGAACGGTCCCATAGAGTTTCCATGGCTGTACATCTTTACTGAAGCAAACTACTAAATCTTTCTCTGGTGGAGTGGCTAGTAGGTTAAAACCACCAAACTTTCAATTATCAGTTGAGCACTGAACCACTGTGCCACCAGGGTTCCCAGCTTAAAACAACATAAGTTTATTACTTTACGTTATTAGTTCCATAGAATCTCAGTGACTACGTTCAAAATGCTGCAGAGCTGTGTTACTTTCAGAAGCTCTACAGGAGTGGATCTTTTTGCTTTTCTTGGCATCCTGGGGTCTCTCTAGCACTTGCTGACAGCCCTCACCTTGCAGTTCCAGCCCTGCTGCTGACCCTCCTGAGAGTCACATCTCTCTTCACCCAGCTGTGATGGGTCCGCCTCTAAAGGGTCATATGATCAGCTCATCAGGCCAATCCCCATCTCATGGGCTAAGTAAGCCTCAATCCCATGGGCAAAGTCCCCTGTGCAGTATAAACTCACAGGTGCTGGGATGAGGGCATGAGCATCTTTTGGGCCATTGTTCTGTGACCCCAGCACTGACAGGCAGCTCTCTGGGCAGCTGCCTCTATGGTGCTGGACCCTGCAAACTCTAGCTGCCTTGGGCTCCTGACACACCCACTGTCCTTTCTTCAGCTCAGGTGTATTTCTGGCTACAGGGGTCCATGCTGCGGCCTGGCAGTCTCCAGGGTGGCTGAGCCTTTTAGGGGTCACTGGCTTCATCTCCTGATGCACAGTGCCTGAGAACTTTGGTTTTGTGTTGTTTCGTTTCAGTGTGGGCAGGAGGGCATATGGAAGTAGAGGTCTCTACTTGTTAGTTACCTGGTTTACTCTGGTTGGCATTTATATGAAGAGCATCCTGGGCTTGGTGCGGTTTGACCTGGCTGAGCCTGCCTTTACTCCCCGGTGGACGAGAATGGTGGGCGGCCGTGGCCCATTCAAACCTCTTCCTCAGATGGGCAGCTGTGGGCAGGGGTTTGCTGCTTGGACCAGACCAGGGAGCGTGGGACCTTGGGGTCTGTCTCTGGGTGTGCTTGCCTCTAAGCAGCATGTTCTGTGGCCCTGTACCATAACCCTCCATGTTGTTTGTTGTTGTTGTTATGTGCCGTTGAGTCGGCCCTGACTCATAGCGACCCCTCCTTGGGTTTCCGAGGCAGTATCACTACAGAAGTAGGATTGCCCAACCTTCCTTCTGAGGAGTGGCTGGTGGGTTTGAACCGCCATAGTGTGGGACATTTGCTGCCTCAGGCCTGTGCGCAGATGGGATGTGCGTGTTTATTTCCTGTTTGCATTGCAATTCTGAAGTACTCTCCCATATGGAAGGGGAAATGCTGGCTGGCACCTCCGTCTGCAGCCAGAGGCTTCTCCATCTGCTCGCCGGCCCCTGGAATTCCTGGTGATTCTGGTCCTGCTAATTTTATCCTTGCGTGTTCTCCAGTGTGCCTGGGTTTCCTCCTTTAAAACCTGCCTCTTCTCCGTCGTTTCCCAGGCCCAGGTGGAGCGAGTGGGGCTGGTAACCATTCTGCTCTCTGGAGCTGGAGTTCTCTCTGACCTGAGTTCTACCACCTCCTGAATGCTGCCCAGCCTCTCTGTGTTCATCCCATGGCTGGCCAGCCACTGACCGTGCCTGCTGGCCAGGGCAGCTGAGGGCCTCGCTCCTCAATTTCCCCAGGAATGTGTCAGGGAGGAGGTAGGATAGGGGGTGATGGTGGGAGTCAGGGCTGGTGGCATCATCATAGAGGAGGGTGCAGGTGTTGAAAGGACTTCAGCTACAGTCTGCGGCAAGTGCGTGGTGTTTGGGTTCCATGGCAGGTCTGGGGCTGTGGGCCTCAGGCACAGTGCTCCTCCAGTCCCTGGATGGGAATAGTCTGTGGTAGGCCTCGTAGGTGTGGGAGGTCTTGGCTACCACAGAGGGCACCACAGTGGCACGGGCGCTGTCCTCTGCCCTGAGAAGAGGAAGGAGGCGTTTCTGGTTGTGCAGAGACAGAAAGCGAGGCCACTTCTGTCTTCCTCTTTCTTTTCCAGAGTGAAGAGGATGGTGTATTAGGTGGCGGCAGCCATGTCACTTGGTGGCATGCTTTGTATGTGACTTGAGTGGTGGCTGCACTGCCCACGGTGGCGATGACGGTGCCTCTGGTTCTTGGTGTGGTTCACACCAGAATGTGGTACCATCACTCCCTCCAGAGAGTGTTGATTGGCAGGGTGTGTCCTGTGCGCATGTCGTAACTGCCGTGCACAGAGGAGTTCTGTCCTGCAGGTGTGGAGGGGCCTTACGGCTCAGTGTCAGGCAGAGGAAGCCACATCTGAAGACATGGCTGAGTCCTACATGAGAAGTGAGTCGGGGGTACCTGCTCATAGGCAGGTGGGGAGAGCGGGGCTGTTTCCTCATGGTCACCCCATGCCTGACTGTGGGGGGTATTGAGACAGGGTGGGGCTGTGCCCACACGCACCTGTGACAGTGGAGGTGTGGGCTCCCAAGTCTGCTTGCCTGGCGTGCGTGTGGGTTCTGGGCCCAGTGCTATGCCCAGTGGAGCAGTGAGCAGACGGTGCTTATACTGTCATCATGCAGAGCTGTGCACCACCCTGATGGATGCCATCACCGACAAGGATGTCCAAGTGCAGGAGCAGATCTGCAGTGCTCTGTGCGCACTTGGCGAGACCCAGCCCAAGGAGACGCTCAGCGCCTGTGAGGACTACCTGCGGCAGCATGAGAAGGTACTGCCCCGGGAGGCCTCCCTGCTCAGGACATGTCAGTCATGTGCACGGCCTACAGAGGGCATCTCCTCTGCCGGCCGGTGGGACAGGGCACCATCAGAACCCGTCTTGGGTGGTGCCGGGGTTGTTGACCCTGAGTCAGTTGTGTCTTGTGCTGGCAGTTGGTGCTGGGGGCCCGGCCAGCAGTGAGTACATCTCTCAGCTTCTTTAGTTCCAACTAGGACCACAGGGGCATTCCTGAGACAGGTGGCCTGGCCTTGCCTTGTCATATGTGGGTGTGTGGCTGCATCTCCTGGGGAAATGAGGAGCCCCCATTAGGGTTAGGGTTAGGCTGTGACTGTGGGTGGTGTCACAGTTGCTCTTGTAGTCACTCGGGACCATCTGGATAACTGCCAGCTACCAAGTGCCAAGTGTGGAACTGGGGGCAGACATGGTCCCTGCCTGGGGAGATGAAGCATCACCATGTGCTGCCCCAGGAAGGCCTCCTGGAAGCGCTATAAGGGAAGGCCCAGGCCAGCATCAGGCAGGGTCAGGGCCTCCTGGGTGCCACATTGTTCCCTTGACCCCTTCCTCCAAGGTGCTGCCTGCAGCATTGGGCCACCCCAAGGGGGACAGAGATGAGCCATCACTGCCCAGCACTCCTGTGCAGATGCCACAACTTGGAGGAAAGGCTGGAGCTTCATGGGAATGTTTGAGTTCTTGGGCTTTGCAGGGGCCCCAGGCTGATGATGCCTGGGGCAGGCCCTCATCCTGGCTCAGGGACCTGGGGCCTGGCCCTCAACCTGGCTCAGGGGTTCTGGGGCTCCAGTGCCTGCCCTCAGCCTGGCTCTGTGCTTGCCACTCCTATTGTTCAGCTTGCTGGTGCCCTCTGTGTGTGCTATGGGCCGTTCCTGGGAGAGGAAGAGACTTTGGCAGCCTCTGGAGACTTTTTCCCTTTTCCTGATATTTTGGCTTGTAAACAGTGTCTCCATATGACATGGAGGAGCCCTGGGTGGTGTACATGGTCTCCTGCTTACCTACTAGCTGAGAGAGGCTGATGGTTTGAACCCACCCAGGGGTGCTTCAGCCATGAGGCCTGGAGATCTGGTCTTGAAAACCTTGTGGAGTGGTTCTGTTGTGTCACACGGGGTCACCGTGCATCTGAATTGACTCTGACAGCAGCATGTAGCACCCTCAGACACCAGCCCCATTTCTGGAATTCATCTGCATGGCAGCCAGTGAGTTGGGTGCACAGCTTCCAGATCTATGGGTGGGGGCCTCCTCTCTCTCCCATATGCCTCCACCAGCTGTCAGAGCTCTTCTTGGGCTTGACATGGGCACATGATGTTGGGTGTAGGTGGGATTTGGGCTTACAGGTTGGTTGGGGAGAGTTGTCACTTTGTGTGAGTGCAGGGTATGGGATAAGATAAGGGATGGGCTGATGGTGTGGGATGAGACATGGGTAGGGCTGACATGGGGGGTGGGCCGACATGGGGTGTGGGATGAGATGGGGGCGGGCTGACAGGGTGTGGGATGAGATGAGGGGTAGGCCGACAGGGTGTGGGATGAAATGAGGTGTGGGCTGACACAGGGTGTGGGATGAGATGGGTATGGGCCGACATGGGGTGTGGGATGAGATGGGGGTGGGCTGACAGGGTGTGGGATGAGACATGGGTACGGGCTGACATGGGGGGTGAACTGACAGGGTGTGGGATGAAATGAGGGGTGGGCTGACACGGGGTGTGGGATGAGATGAGGGGCAGGCCGACAGGATGTGGGATGAGACGGGTATGGGCTAACAGGGTGTGGGATGAGACATGGGTATGGGCTGACATGGGGGGTGGGCTGACAGGGTGTGGGATGAGACGGGTATGGGCTGACATGGGGTGTGGGATGAGATGGGGGTGGGCTGACATGGGGTGTGGGATGAGACATGGGTATGGGCTGACATGGGGGGGTGGGCCGACAGGGTGTGGGATGAGACGGGTATGGGCTGACATGGGGTGTGGGATGAGATGGGGGTGGGCTGACACGGGGTGTGGGATGAGACATGGGTATGGGCTGACAGGGTGTGGGATGAGACATGGGTATGGGCTGACATGGGGGTGGGCTGACAGGTTGTGGGACGAGACGGGTATGGGCTGACATGGGGTGTGGGATGAGATGGGGTGGGCTGACAGGGTGTGGGATGAGACACGGGTACGGGCTGACATGGGGGGTGGGCCTACATGGGGTGTGGGAGGAGACACAGTTATGGGGTGACGTGGGGTTTGGGACTACATGGGGTGTGGGATGACAGGAAATCATGAAGCACTGTCTGGTATCAGATGGCAGACATGGCCACCAGGGTACCCTTGTGATGTCTCTGCAGTCCTGAGGCTCCAGGTGTGGCCACTTGGAACAGTCCCACGATAACTGTCTGGGAACAGTGGACATGATCTGTTCCCAGGGAGAGATGGGCTTGGGGGTCTTCACATGCTGTTGATGCCTATGCCACGTTCACTCTAGGTGGCACCACTAATGTGTTAGGCAGCCGGCCCTCTCACATGCCCACCGGTGCCTGGGCAGAGACGGGAAGAGGGGCTGTGTTTTCACAGTATCAGAACTTCCTTCTTGTTGTCCTTTTCCATTGTTTGCATTTCCCACTAGCTTCGTCCTCAAACATGTCTGTCTCTCTCTGGTGTGGCTTCTCTGGTAGCCTTGTCCTCATGTGCATGCAGGTGCTTAGGCTGCACAGTGGCCCATGCGTGTGTCAGCGGCTGTGCCCATGGTCTCAGGGTGGCCTCGGCATGCAGCACCTGTCCATAGGGGTCTAATAGGAATCCCCTTATGCGAATGGTTTAAGCACCTCCTGAAGATGTGAGGGGACACTGGGGTCCAGCGTGTGCCGGGCAACAGCAGGATGGCCCCTTATAAATCTGGGTGACCTGGTCACAGAGTGAGCTGTGTTGCTGTGGGACTGGCAAGCTGAGGACAAGAGGCTGCTTATTCTCCCTGTGAAATGATAGGGCCCAGGAGATTTGCTGGCCATCCTTAGGGGGGATGGGGGCTGCCTGGCACAGAGAGTGCTTGGCCCTTCCGGAGGGTGGGTGTCAAATGACTGGGGCCTGTCTGCACAGGCGCTCAGCCAGGCTCTGGGGATGTGGAGACTAGGCAGGTGAGCCAGGCTTGACACACAGGTGGGTGACCACCCTGGGCCTCACGGCATCTCCCCTCAGCTGGCCCACCCGTACCGTGCAATGATCCTGAAGGCCACGGAGGCCATTGTGCGCAGTCACATCAACGAGCTTGACAAGGACACAGCCAGGGCTGTCATCCTGCTGGCCTCCAGCGAGATGACCAAAGCCAAGGTGAGTTGCACACCCATCTACCTGGACCAAAGCATGGAGTGCTGGTCCTGTCTGGTGTTACCTGCTCCTTGGGGGCTCACCGGTTATTTTGAGGGGGACTGAAACAGAGCGCAGAATGCCTAAACTCTAAGGAACAATACCAGGGCATTGGGTGTCTGATCAGGTTGAGGCTGTGGGAGGTCCCTTGGCATCCAGGGGCTACATGGCCTCAGAGTGGATGTTTGCCTGCTGTGCTGCTCCTCTTAGGGGTGTGTAGGCTCAGTGCGGGCAGTGTGGGGTGTCTGGCCTTACCTCCTGGGCACTGCCTACATGAGGTCCCGCCCACACCCTGGGAGCAGGTATCAGCTCAGATTCTGCTCTCTGGATAGGACCTGGTCCCTGACTGGCAGCAGGCTGCAAGCAGTGTCCTCGTGGCTGTGGGCACACGACTCATCAGTGCCGTCATGGAGGAGCTGCTGAGCCACTTCCAGCCGGGCCTGCTGCCCCACTACTTCGTTGTGCAGACATTTGCCAGCCTTGCAGCGTCCAATGGTAGTTGCCCTGGGCCTCCGCTCCCTCCTCTCCTGGTCCTGCTCCCAGCCCTGGCCTGGGGCTGTTGTAAGCCCAGGTGCCCACACTGTGTGAACCCCCCCCCCCCCCCCGAGTGCCAGAAGGTCAGGAGAACGGGAGCCCCAAGGCCAGGCCAGTGGGCGGGCCTAGGGAGCGTGGGGCTGGGCTGGCGGCTGAGCCTGTTCTCACGCAGTGTTCGGCACGGTGCCTTTCCTGCCCTCCATCCTGAGCACCATGCTGCCCATGCTGGTGATGGCCAAGCAGGACGTGATGCGCGTGGCGTTCTGCGCTGGTGAGAGGCCCCCCCGCCCCCCCCCCGTTTCAGCACCCCCTGGGGGGGCGTCAGACTGTGGGGCGGGGGAAGAGCTGGATGGTGGGGAGGGCAGGCGCTGTGGCCTCTGGCCCCTAGCCAGCTCACCCTTCTGGCTGCCCAGCCCACAGACACCAGCACCTCAGGGTCCGCCCTCCTACTTGCAGAGCCGAGGCTGGTCTTGGGCAGCTGCCTAGAGGCCCTCCCAGCGGCCCTCACTGTTGGCGCTGCTTGTTCCCCTGGGCACTGTACCCCTGGGCAGGGGCTTCCCTGGATCCCCTTTAACCCTTTGGGCTTCGTGCTGTGTGCACCCCCGCGGGGTCCCTGCAGCGCTGCGGCACTTCAGTGAGAGCACTCTGGAGTACTTGGCCAGCCTGGACCAGGCCCCGGACCCCACGGTCAGAAAGGACACCTTCTCCTCCGAGATCTTCAGCGCTCACGATATTCTCTTCAACCACTGGCTGCAGAGTCGGGAAGCCAAGGTACACCCTGCCCAGTCTCACCTGTAGTCCTCACTCCTGCATGGTATCTCACCTGAGGGTCCTCACACCGAGACCCTCTCTCACCCGAGCATCTCCACACCTGCATGGCGTTTGGCCTGCAGATCATCTTCTGTGACTGTCTGGCTGGATCCGGCTGTGCAGCTCTGTCCACCTCCTGAGCATGTGCCCCTGCACCTGCTTGCCCTGGACACTTCCCCACCCCCCACCCTGAGAACCACAATGCTGGATGGGGAGGGGCCGCAGGGTGACAGCCACTGAGTGCTCCAGCCACTGCTCCTGTGATGCGCATGGCCCTTCCAGCCCGGTTGCAGCCTTGCCCCTTGCTGCAGTTGCCCTGCAGTCACTTGGTCACCATGCAAGCACTCTGTAGTTACTCAGTGGTTACCCTGTGGTCACTTGGTCATCATCCCGTGGTTACCCCCGTGGTCGTCATCCTGTGGTCACCCTGTGGTCTCTTGGTGGTCACCCCATGGTCAGTCAGTGGTCACCCCTGGTCACTCTAGTTACTCAGTGGTCACTTGGTGGTCACCCCACGATCACTCAGTGGTCACCCATGGTCACTCTGCAGTTACTCAGTGGTCATCCCTGGCCACTCAGTGGTCACCCCATGTTCACTCTGATCACTTGGTTGTTATCCACAGTCATGCTGTGGTTATTGGTCACCCTGTAGTCACTCACAGTCACCTGTACCGACTAGCTCTCCTCCACTGGGCGCCCCCAGGCCTGGCACGAATTCTGTTGCACACGGTGCCCACATTTGTCTGTAGCTCCGGCTGGCCGTGGTGGAGGCCCTGGGGCCTATGAGCCACCTGCTGCCCAATGAGAAGCTTGAGGAACAACTCCCCAGGCTCATCCCAGGGGTGCTTGCCCTCTACAGGAAGCACGCCGAGACCTTCCATGTGTCTAAGGTGTGTCATCTCCCAAGTGTGTCTGCCCAGCGAAGTGCTGGACTGGGAGGGGCTCAGCCCTGCGCTGAATACTGGGAGGGGCGTCTGTGTGTGGGAGGGTCTCAGACCAGCGCTGTGGGAGCCCAGGACCTACACTGCCACCCTCCCCGGCTGTAGTCCTCTGACTTGGACAGCCCTTTCTTGATTTCCCAGCATCCTCTGTGGGGAGACAGGACTTCCTCACTGGGCTGTGGGATCTGCACCCTCTGATCCCTCTTCGTCCAGCTTCTCCCAACACCTCTTCTTCCTGCTGGCAGAGTCTAGGCCAGATCTTGGAGGCAGCTGTGAATGTGGGCAGCCGAACGCTGGAGGTCCAGCTTGACGCACTCCTGGGCGCCCTGCATGCCCAGGTAGGTTGTGGAGCTAGTGCAGAGGAGATGCCTTCCATGGGGATGTTGCCCTGTGAGGAGCCCAGGACTGGACAGTCCAGCTTCATGGGGCTGGGCAGACATCCCTGCAAGCCATCAGACATACAGTCCCCTGGCATCTTGGCCCCATGTCTCCTCTTGTACTCAACACTGGTGATGTTGGCTTTCCCAGAGTGTGTCATCCTCCAAGAGAGTGAGGAGGAAGCTGCAGTGCCTTCTGTGGTCAGATTTGATATTTATGATGGAAATGACAGGTGCTACCTAGGAGCCTGGAGCAGAGCCCCTAGGCCAGCGCCTCCTCTATTCTCTCCATGTTCCCGAGAACTGGCACAGTCCCAGCTTGGGGAGAACCCTGAGGTTCTGGGCTTTGTTCTGCTTGGTTATCTCTCTGGACCATAAGGTGGCTTTGCTGCAGAATTAGTTGCTTTAGTGTTCTTTGCTGTGACACTGGGGTCTGGAAGTGGAGATCCAGGGTGTCACCCCTGAGCTCATACCAGGTGAAGCCCTAAAGCCGAGGCTGCCACAACCTGTGGTAACTTGTTACCACTGCAGTTTTTCGATTGACAGTTTTTGAATGAATGTTTGCCAGGGCAGCAGGAACCTGTCTCCTTGATCAACAAGCTTCTCTTGAGGCTTTGTCCTCTCGGTGCTGGTGTAGGGGCAGGAGATGAGGAACCAGGACTTTCCAGAGGCTCTAGAGGGCTGGCTGTGTGTGTGTGTGTGTGTGCGCGCGCGCGCGCATGTGTGTGTGTCAGTGGCCTTCCGTTGTCTGTCTCCCTCCTCACTGGAAGGGGACGGGTGTGGACTCTGATTCTGTGGGGGAGCCCCTAGCCCCCTTGCCCTTGGCCCAGACGGCTGGGGCCTAGCCCTTTAGCGTGCTTCCTTGCTGTGTAGCTGGGCCTGGCCCTCTGGCCCCCAGCCACCCCTTGGTGACTCTGCCCTCTGTCCCTGGAGCAGATCTGTGTGCCAGTGGAGTCGTCCAGCCCCCTTGTGGCCAGCAACCAGAAGGAGGTGCTGCGTTGCTTCACGGTGCTGGGTGAGTCGGGGGCTCTGGGCTCAAGGGTCACCCCCCACTTTAGGCTGGCCCAGAACCAGGATGGAAGGTGGGGTGCTGGGGCCTCCATGGTTTTCCCCCAGGACATGAGAACCTTGAGTGGGCTCCTGAGAATCTGCCTCCACACCCCCATCCCTCCTGGCCTAAAGGAGCACTGAGGTACGAAGCCAGAGAGCTGTTTCTCTGAGGAGCTGGCAACACTGGCCCTGGGGTCCTGGGCACAGTATTGCCCCAACTGTGTGTAGAACCCCTCCATCCCCCTAGGACTTCCTGGGGTGATTCCAGGTGGTTCTGGTCACCCTGTGACAGAGGCCAGCCAGTGATGCTGTGGGGCAGCAGTATGGATGCCCTCCTTTGGTGGCACATGGAGACTGGTCCCCAAGGCCCTGCCACGGGGGAGGCAGCCAGCGATTTTCTTTGTATGGCTGAGGCAGGGCTGGGCAAGAGGCCTTGCCTTGGGGGAGGGCGTGGTTGTAGGCTTCAAGCAAGGGGACTGGCCTGGTGACAAGGACAAACAGACGGACAAGCTCCCAGCCCTTCTGAGGAGTATATGGCCTACTGGGTGGGTGCTGATGAGAGGGTGCGGGCTGAAGTGGTTGACTGTGTTTCTGTAGCCTGCTTTGCCCCTGACCGCCTGCTGGCCTTCTTGCTGCCCAAGCTGGACACCAGCAACGAACGGGTCCGCGTGGGCTCCCTGCAGGTCCTGAGGCATGTCATCAACTCGGCCGGTGAGTGCCCTCTGCTCCTGAGCAAGACGCCGCCCCTTGCTTAGGTGAAAAGCTCTGAATTCTTGGAAGAGTTTCCCCAATTACTGTTTTGTAAGGTTCCAAGCATTCTGAAAAGTTAGAGAACATAGTGAAGCTGTTTCCCGGAGGTCTAAGGCTGCATACCAGGCTGTACCTGGGGTGCCCGCAGGTTCTCCTGTGGTGCACAGGCAGGTGGCAGGTGTGACAGGGCCACGTGTCAAGCACTGTCTCCTCTCACAGCTTCCCCTCCACTGAGAGTAGAACAGGGGCACGTGCATGGACTGCCTGTCTCTTTAGACTCTTGAGGTTGAGAAAAATTCCCCATATCGTTTGTACCTTTGGTCTTCTTGTGACTCTGATGTCTGTGTGGAGGCCAGGCTGGCTAATTTGTAGAATGGCCCCTGTATGGATGTGTCTGATGTCCCCTTGCAATTAGACCTGAGGTGCCAGGCCCTGCTCTGAAGGCTGATGTCATGGCTGCTGCTGAGCTTGGTTGGTTTCACATGGAGCTTGTTGGTCCCCTCTCTGTGCAGCTCGTGCTGTGGGAGCAGCAGGCTGGCCATGTCATGAGCTCAGAGAGGGTTTCTGCATCTTAAAGGCAAAAGGAATATGTGACATAGCCCGTGTTGCCACAGCGCCTGGAACGGCCGCTTTGAGGGTCTGCATCAACCCGCCAGGCTTGGCTGCACACAGTGGCAGTGGGCAGTGGGCAGCGGGCAACTTTCAGAGCTGTGGGGATAATGTTGAAGTGGCTCAGGAAATGGACAAGGACTTGGGAGGGCGGTGGCCATCGGGACCATAGCCCAACATGTAACACCGAGCTGTGAGTCTGGTGACGGTGCCGCAGAACCCCTGTGTCCTCGGTGGACCAGCGCTGCCATGGCTGGGGATGGCCTCCAAGGCCCTGTTCCTCGGAGTGGTGCTCCATGGCGCGGGGCTGAGAGGGTGCGGGTCAGTGAGTGGACAGGAAAGTACTCCCTCGTAAGCAGTGCTTCAGCCGCCCCACGGGGACCCCGTGAGGTGGCCGTGCTGCCCCAGGTAACTGAGGTGGAGGACAGGAAGGTCACATGCTGGCTGGCACATTCGGGTTGTGGCATGGAGACAAGGCCCTGGCCCTCGAGGGGCTGGTGGCCTCTGTCTGCGTCTGGTTGGGCCTGAGCCATCCTGCGGGTCTCTTGCAGCTGCGCAGATGGAAGTTCGGAAGCTCTTCATTCTGTCCTCCATGCGGCTCCCCCTTCTGGACGCCAATGACAAGGTAGCCCTGCCGGCGGGAGGCAGCGCAGGGGGTGCACGTGGCCTGCAGTGAGGGCTGCTGTTGCACACCTCACTCTCTATGCCAGGGCCCAGACCAGCTCAGCCCTTGTGCCAGCCCTCGGGACCCAGAGGGTCCTTTCACCACCTGGGGCTCCTCCAGCCTGTGTACCCTCTGCTGGGCACGCTTGCTGGGCCTGCTATGAGAAGCGTGTTGTGTCCCCCTAAAAGTCACTGACATCAGCTCAGCGGGGTCTGGTAGACCCGTGCCCTCACTCAGCCTGGAGGTCCACATTCTGCCACCTGCCTGCTCAGTCCAGCCTCCCCTCTACCAGGGCGGGACACAGGTGGGGGTGTGTGATGGGGCCGGGAGTCTGGGCAGCAGCCGTTGTGGTCTGGGTTGGCAGGATAAGGTTCTCGAGGTGGGCAGCATGTGAGGAGAGCTGGGCCTGGACAGGCCTGTGTCCCCAAGTGAGAAGCAGCATGGGTGAGGAGCGCCAGCTTGGGGAGAGGGTGGCTATTCTCGTCCAGGGTAACCGCCGGATGCTCAGTTACTGAGTGGACACTGGCCACTCAGGGTCAGACCATCCAGGCCTGTGTCGGCAGCAGCTGTAAGTCAGAACTTTGCCCTGAAGGCTAAAGAGACCACAGGGCCACATGTCCCAGAGGACTGCAGCACCTGCAGCCCAGTCGGGGTGCACACTTAGGGCTGGGGGAGTCCAGCACCAGAGCGGGGGTGGGGGGTTGTGGTGCGGGGCTGGCTATCAGGGTCAGGGTGGGCTGGAGCCTCTGTGTAGGTGCCTTGAAGGGGCTGGGGCTGACGCTCTGCTGAAGTGGATGAGGAAGGAAGCTAGTGAGGGACACTGGAAGGGGATCGGGCAGTGGTGGGGAGGGGAGGCCCCTGAGGGGTGGTGAAGAAGGTGGGTGGGAGTACAGGCATAGGTGTGGGTATGGGCACCAGTGGGTGCAGGTGGGGGTGGGGGGGCAGGTACAGGAGTGGGGGGGTACAGGAGGGGGTGTGGGTAGAGGTGCAGGTAATGGAGTGGGTGGAGGTGGGGGCACAGGTACTGGGTGCAAGTGGAGATGCAGGTGTAGGAGTGGGTGGTGGGACCCAGGTGTAGGTGGGGATGTGGGCAGATGTGTGGCAGGCAGGGGATGAGGAGCTGAACCATGAGGGGTTACCGTGAGCACCATCTCAGGTCCTTGCCACTCCCCCTTGTTCCGGCAGGTGAAGCGGGCAGTGGTGCAGGTGATCAGCGCCATGGCCCACCATGGCTACCTGGAGCAGCCCGGAGGCCAGGCAATGATGGAGTACATTGTGCAGCAATGTGCACTGCCCCCCGAGCCGCAGGTGAGGCTGCCTCACCCCCCAGGGTCCCTCCTTTGTTGGTGATGGGCACCAACTGGAGGGGCTGGGCTGAGTATGTCCCCAGCTTGTGGGTCAGGGTCTAGGGCCTGCCTGGGCCTGTTCATGTCACTTGGCACTCAGTCCTGAGTGGGGAGAGGCAGGAGAGACGTTCCCTGTCTTAGGCATTTCTATTGAAAATGTCACCAAGCAGATGGCGAGGCCAGGAAAGGACAGGTGTGTCCTCAGAACTCTGGTGTCTGTCCCCATGGTCCCCTGCACCCAGAACCAGGCAGAGCTCAACAAGAAAGGGTGTGGGCGTGTTGCTGTGGTGAGCTGCACCTGACTCCTTGCTACCCTGTGCACAGTGGGCCGGCCCTCCCACAATGGCTGCAGACTGGACTGTTGTGGTCCAGGTGGTTTTCATTGGCCAATGCTTTGGAAGTGGTCACCAGGCCTTTCTTCCTATCTGTCTTAGTCTGGAAGTTCTGCTGAAACCTGTTTAGCACCATAGCCACATACAAGCCTCCTCTGACAAGCGGGTGCATGGGCTGGGATTTGAACTTGGGTCGTGCAAAAAGGGCAAGAAGGCCACATATTCTGACCTCCTCTAATCCCACAAGAGGAAGACAGAATCACCATCAATAGCCCAAGGCCTATTCCTGCGAGGCCAAACATGCTGCCTCCCTCCAGCCCTTTCTCCAACTGTTCCTCCCAGAGCACCCACCACCTCTCTCCTGGGTTCGATAATTTGCTGCAGTGACCACACAGAACTCACAGATTATGGGGTTTATTAGGAAAGCACCAGACTACAATTCAAGTTCAGGAAAAATGCTCAGTCTCTCTCCCAGCCCACCGTCCCTCAGCCAACAGTCTCTCAAAGTCTCTTTCCCAGCAGTGCTGGTCCCTCAGTGTCTCACTCAGTAATGCATGTCTCTTGTGTCTCTTTCCCAGCAATGCGTGTCTCAGGAGCACGTGTCTCTTTCAGTAGCATGTCTTCCTGAACCAGCAGTCAGAGAAAGTTCTGCCTCTAGGAGGCCTCCTTTTGAGCTTGGCAGAGTGGCCAAACTAGCCAATCATAGCATCAGAACTCTAAGCACTTGAGAGTGAGCCTTCCATAACATTGCATTGTGCTACGCCCAACAGAAATAACCCAGGTGGATAACATTTACAATCCACTTCAGTTGCTCATTCCACCACTGAGTTTACAATGACTTATGGGTAGAAAAGCCATACTAAGTAATTTACTGCACTGCAGGTCTCCTATGTAGAAGGCAGGAGTTCTATCACTGGCCACCACTGCCCTCTGTGGGTGTGTTACTCCTTTGTATGTGATAAAAGGAAGCTTCCTGGCGTCTGAAGCTTTACCAAGCACACAGGCCTCAGGACGTGGGGCTCTCTTGGTTGTGGGGCCCTGGGGGTTAGACTTCCTGTTGCCCTTGCCCTCAGCACTTGCTCTGTGTTTGGCTTTCTGTGCTGCCCCATGATGTTTCACTGTAGTTTGAATGCATATGAGGGTTGGGCTACTCTGTTTTTCTCCTTGTCCTCTTTTGCTGGAGTGGTTCTTGTTACTATCTGGGTGAGGATTCTGGTGTCTCTTTGAGAGAAAGCTTGGTCTGTACTTTCTGCCATCTATGTCTGGAATGCTAAAAACCAAACACCAAACTCACTGCCTTCAAGTCATTTCTGACTCATAGTGACCTCCATTGGGTCTCCATGGCTGCAAATCTTTACAGAAGCAGACTGCGTCATCTTTCTTTTGCAGAGTGGCTGGTGGGTTCGAACTACCGATCTTTTGGTTAGCAGCAAGGTGTCTTAACCACTGCACCACCAGAGCTCCTTATAATGCCAAGGCCTCATTAAATGAGTTTAATTTCTGGAAGAATTTGTGAAAAATTATTTCTTCCTTACATCTTTAGTACAATGCACCAGTGGAACCACACAGGCCTGTGGATTCTTTAATCATGAATTCCATTTCTTTAATGGACACAGGACTACTTAAGCTTTCTGTTTTTCTTGCATGAGCTTTGGAGGTGTATCTCTGGGTCGCCAGTCCCAGGACCACCTCTGTGTTTGGCGATTTGCCTAGCAGCTAGGCCTCATGGTTGGACTCACGGCTGCGGTTATCACTGTAAAAGCTGTGTCACGTGGGGGCTACTGGAGGGGCTTCACAGTCTGCTCACTCTTGCAGCAGCAGGATGCTGCAGCCAAGTGCAGTATGTCTGCCCAGGGTGCCCACCAGAGATTCAGCACCTAGGGTTCTTAGGGGCTGGTCATGCTGACACTGTGCCAACCCCTTCCCTCAAGTGCCAGACTCCCCGAAGGAAAGTGGCTGCTCGTGCTTCCAGCGCCTGTACCATCTTAATCCTCAGAGCATGTTTGTAAAGCCAAGGGCCACCGTGGGCCACCCCTGCCAGCAGGCCTTGTACAGATCCAGCCACTGCTCACACATGGTCTTCCCAGAGTTCTCTTCTTTCATCTACATCGTTGAATTTATGGGCAGAAGACTGTTTCTTTCTTTCTTTTTTTTTTTTTTTTTAATTTTTATTGTGATCTGGGTGAAAGTTTACAGATAAAATTCATTTTCCATACAGCAGTTCACATACACTTCGTCTCATGACATTGACTACAGTTTTCTACAAGGAAACAGCTCCCTCCCACTTCCTCCCCATAATTACCGCTTCCCTGTGTCCTTCCCTCCTATACGCTCCTGCCCCCTGAGCTGTCTCCCTGTGCATACACAGCCCTTCTATTCTCCCATGATTGATCTCTCCAAGGAGTGTATCTACCTAGTGTAAATGTTCACTTCGTATGCCTGTCTTTTGTTTGGCTGGAAGCCACAGGAGTGGGTTCAATTCCAGACCTGAAGGGCAGCAAGGGGGCATAGTCTCAGGGGTTCCACCAGGCTCTATCAGACCAGCAAACATAGTCCCTTTTTTTTTTTTTTTTTCTTTTTCAATGACTTTGAGTTTTATTCCACATTGTTCTCCCACTCTATCTAGCATCTCCTACATAGATCCCCCTCCAAGTGGTTGGCATTGATAGCTGGGCACTGTCTAGTTCTGGTCTCATAGTCGTATAGGCTGAGGATTGCATGTTGTACCAGTCACTTGGACTAATTGTTTCCATGTGTCTTTGGTTTTCTTCATTCTTCTTTGCTTTGGACGAGGCGAGACCCACCGTTGCATCTAGGTGGCTGCTTGCAAGCTTTTAAGATACTAGTCACTACTTCCCAAAGAGGGAGCTGTGGTAGCATAGCATCTAAGGCACTTGACTGCTAACCAGAAGGCTAGAAGTTCAAACCCACCAGCCACTCCTCAGAAGGAAGGTTGGGCAATCTACTTCTGTAGTGATACCACCTCAGAAACCCAAGGAGGGGTCACTATGAGTTGGGTCTGACTCAATGGCACATAACAACAACAATAGCACTTGCCACAGTAGGATGTGGAACAATGTTTTTGTGTAGTATGTTATGCCAATTGAGCTTGATGTCCCCTGCGACCATGGTCCTGAGTCCACAGGTTTAACTACTCCCTCCCTCCGGGTAGTTGGCTGTGGCCAAGAAGCCACCGCAACCTTGTCCCTTGTCAGCTCTACTATATACCTGGAAATTCTTACAGAACATACAGATGTACTTGTAGACACATCACCTACCAACCCTGTACATGGTCATGTATTGTTCATGTAATCGTTTGGCCTTTAACAGTCTTTCTTGACGCAATACACTTTTTCCCCACCCCTGGAACTAGGCAAGCTGATGCTAAGATGCATATGGGAAATACTAAACAAAGAGTCGTGCATGCCCGTGCAGCCTCTACTAGTTACCACCTAGGTGACTTAGTTACCACGTGAAGAGTCGTCGCTAGTAACTGACAGCATGTATGCTAATTCATAAACACTCCGTTGCAGAAATATTTGAAACAGCATGACTATGTCTGCAGTGAGGACTGCATTGGGGCCAAGCAGTGTTAACTTAGGGCTGGGGTGTGCACAGCTGTCCACAGGATGCAGCTAAAATGCTGACCTAGGCCCACATACTCGTGCACATACCCGTGTTTTATGAGTTAGATGATACACTTGTAAGAAAAACCTGATTGTGGCTGAGTGGTTGCTACTCTCTATTACTGTTAATCTTCAGTGAAACATGGTTTTAAGGTTTTTAAAGTTTATTTAGGTAATTTATTAATCCTTGAAAGTAACTAACCCTTGAAATTAACTTCAGTATAAAGGCTTGGGCTTTCTCTCTTTCTTCTTTGGCACCCTGTCCAGTTCTGCAAAGGCAGCTGGGACTTTCATAGGGACTGTGTTGGATCTGTAGGCTAGTTTGGGGACTATTGTTTTAGTAGTCTGGAGTCTTGTGATCCATGAACTTGGGATATCTCTCCATGTGTCTAGGTCTTCTTATGTTTCCTTTTCCTGGGCCTTGTAGTTTGCAGAGCATAAGCATTGTATTGCCTTTGTTAAATGTGTCCCTTATCTTCTTTTTGATGCTGTTGTAAGTTATTTTCTTAATTCCATGTTCAGTTTGCTCATTGTTACCGTGTGGAGACACAGTTGTCTTTTCCTGTTGACCTTGTGACTGCAGCCTTGCTGAGTGCACGTTTGTATGTTTGTTCTAATTGTTTGTAGTCAAGTCCTTCAGCTGTTCTGTCTGCAAGCAAAGCTGCAGTGTCCCCTGTGTAGAGAAACAGTTTTACTTCCTGCCTTGTGGTCTGGATGCCTTTACTTCTGTTCCCAGCCCCGCTGTCCCAGCAGAGCCCCAGCACAGTGCGGAGAGGGAGTGGTGAGGGCGGGGCTTCTGTCTGGGCTGAAGTTACTCAGTCTCTCACCTCCAGGCATGATGGCAGCCTTGGGCTTTCGGAGATGCCTTTATCAGGCCAGGAGGTTCCTTTGCTCCTGCTTTGTAGAGTGTCTCTGTTGTGGAGGGGGTGGTGGGTTTTGTCAGAAGCTGATTTTCGTCTGAGAAGATGGTTATGGGAGTTTTCTCCTTTATCTGCGTGGTATGG